AATATCGTATGCTTTACTACAAAACGAGTACATTTCCGCATCTTCAAAGGCTTTTCAGTGGTCGTGGGGAACAAAAACTGCGATGTAAACACTTCGTGCGGTATCGCCGTGCATTAGAGAAGCAACAGGTAAGCGAAGTGGTCTTTAATAAACAATTGAACACGGTAACAGGTTGCCACTGTACTGCTTAATGCCTCCCCAACTCGTGACGGTGCAACCCTTGCGAATTATTATTTGGTGTGATATTGATATTGCTTATTACTTTTGCAATGAAAGCACTAAGACATTATTAAGTACTGTGTTTTTATTGAATACTTTTAAAATATTGTTTCAGAAAATAGGTGTCTTTTTTTAGTTTTATACACCATTACCATACCATAGACACGAAGACTCGTCTCTTCTCCTCTCAATGTAAAAAAGAGAATACATAACGTATTTATTTCAATTCTGAGATCTTCAAATGATTTTTTTGAAATTGTTTTCCATTTTTAAAAACAAAATTTATAATGTAGTTTTAATGTAATTTTTAAGTGTATTATAAACTATATTTTATGGGACAAGGGCTGAAAAATGAAAGTCACGGGTACAAAATAACATTTACTTAAACGTAACTTATTACAAGTGTCTGGTTACGACATACAAGTGAATCTGTTCGTCTAGCGATCCAATGTACCATAATCTCACACTTACAACAAACACCAATAAAGATTGGCCCATACTAAATCACTCTGCAACTATTAAAGTATTTTTGAGTTCTTTTAACAATCCATCACATCAAGTTCAGATTGACTTGAGGATAAACCGTTTTAAATTAAGAATTATGTCTGCCATTTAAATATCATTTAGGGTGGACCAATCTTTTAACAACAAGCCAGGTGGCGCTACATTCGTTTCAACATTACCACAGATTATACGCAAATGTTGGCATGCGTAAATAATATCCTATCATTACTTACCAATCAAAAATTATATACTTTATGACTATAATAATGCTGTGTCAATTTTATTTGCAAAATTCCCGTAATCAACAATTTATTGGTATATAATCAAAACAACTTAAAACATTTTTGTAAGTACCAAATCTACATGCAATGATATATCGTTATATATTATATAATTAGTCAATTTCGACAGCCATATATTAAAATTAAAACTTAAATTAAATACTTATATAATTTTAGCAAACCTTGCACGCTTATGATGTACTAAGACAATACTACTAGAGTATGCATGATTTGTTAAACTTAGTGAAAGCAGCGAATCGATAAAATACTCACTAATCGATACAATACAATCGCAATATCCATAACTACTTACTAGGTACATTTTATCACATTTAAAACAATAATAACATTAATTAATCAACAATCATGTTAGGTAGATATAGTGAGCTCGATGGTCTGTGGTATGAGCCAAATGACAAAGACAACATTCTAATCGATTTAGTAGAAAAATCAATAAGAGATGAGGATTACCGTGACTGAGTTTATCGACAGGATCACCAATGTGGCGTAGCGGGAGGTCATTTTTCAACTATTTTGTAATGTGCAGTCATTGGACATTCATTTTTTGACAAGTTCTGTGATTGGACAATCACGACCTTACACTAATTGCCACCATCAGCGACACTGGCATTCGACAAATTATGTCAAAGGTAATGTCAATCTCGTACATTGACTTTTCTATACTTTCGGTCGACTGTCGCTAAGTGCCATTTAACTCATAACGCTGGTAAGAATTGCTGGCAAAACAGATTCAGTGTTTATAACGAGGGACGTAAAACAGTATTATTGATAATCTTTGCAAATTATTTATTACGGATTACAGTCAACTAATGAAGTACGAAGGTGCTATAAAAAGTATGAGATTTCTGAAGCATAGAATTACAATGGGATTTTCTGTGTCTAAGTTCCAGTTTCATATTGAAAAAAGATATCTTGTTATTAAAACGAGTTCACTATAAACGACGAGTTACTCATGTAAATATACTGAGAAAAGCTCTACTAGTTTAGACTCTTCCCCAGAAGCAGCGTGCGCGGTCGCGGCAGTGTCGCGCAGTCTAGTAGAGCTATTTTCAATAAGTATATTCACGTTAGTAACCCGTCTTTTATAGTTATTTCTGCATGTCTCGCGATAATTATTATAAAAACGAATTCACTTAATACTTTATTTTAAAGAAGAAATTAAGATAAACTAACATTCCATTGTTTAACATTTTCATAGTAAATATAAACTAATTATTTGAATAAGCAGGTCCAACAGCACACACGTCTTATAGCTGAGATCTCTAATAAAATCAATTGAAAAGACTACAAAATAACACGAATTATTTGAAAAAATTCACATAGCTATGAAAAGATGAAAAGATTGGAGAAACACGTCAACACCATTACACTGCATGCGATTGTTATCAATTTTAATTGATAAATAAATAATAAGGCAAAAATCTATTTATGGTATTCATAAGTCACAACGAACTACATAAATTATTAACTTATATAGATTTAAGAAATGCCATAAAACATTTTATGGAAACAATTGAAAAATAATTAGTTATAAACCTCGAATTTATAAAAAATATGCAATTATAATGCTAAATCAATTAGTTTCGTAGGTACATTTCTAATGAATTGGACAGGAATAATAATAAAATACCTGCTACCAAATGCTACAAGTGTACCATAAAAAAATTGGTTTCCCATGGGAATTAAAGAACAAATTCACATCTTTAACTTCCAAACGGTTGTAAACACGATGAAATGCTTGAACCCTTATCTGAGCATGCGGTAAATGTTTTAAATAACAATAATTTCGGAATTTATCACACAAAGAAAACATTCTCCATCCCGCGCAGAGCCACTTCATGTCTCTCTACGAGGTTACAAGTCGGGGACCATACCTCAGTATTAAACAAGTCACGCAAATGGTGATGTCACGTCGTATGGGCATCCGAAACCAAAGGATTTAAGTGACGAGTTTTCGTTCCACATGGAGGACAAGGGGAAGCTCTTTTGGCTGATGATGATGATGATGATGAGAACAAGCATTTAGTGGCTGTTTAGTAATATCATCAGCCAATTAAAAACAGTCTAATTGTATCGGACAGAACAGAGTGCTTAATCTTGAAACCAATCTCAATGTCAATGCAATTTCAATCCAATAAAATCTCAATAATTATTCAATGTCAACATTATACAACCCTTATCGTAGCTGTAAAATAGCATTCAGACTACGGAATATAAAGCAAAACTCAAACTATTTAGTTCATTAAATATCCACGCAATAAGCATGCAATGAGCGCTAGTGTTGAAATACAAGAGTACGAAAGTTTACAATACCAATATCGATCGATCGGAATTGGAATCGAGAGTAAGCCCGCTGATTGGTTATATCGAATGCTCTGCATATGATCCACGAGGATTAGACTAAACATAATTTAAACGTACCTTTTACATACTTTGTGACTTTGTTCGTTTTTACCATTGGCTGATTATATTTTTAAACAGATTCAGCAGATATTTCGTTCTATCTTAATTTTTGGAGTATGTAAATGATGTTACTATATGTAGTTAGTATAAGTAGAATTATTCTATAGAAGGCAAGAGAGTTTTAGTAGATTTTGTGCATAGTGCTTTGTATTTGTGAGCAAATAAATACTACTTGAGGCAAAACCAGAAAACAACAAAGGTGTTTCGTTTTTCAAAAAACTTTAACGTTTATTTAAGAAGTCATTATCATCTCGCATTTGAATTTCAATAGGCAGAATTGGTAACTTAACCGCTTGAATGCACCGATATGAGACACAATAAAAAATACATTGTGTCGCGTCGATCCACGTTTAGACACAAGACGGGCTAAAGTTAAGAAAATGACGTTAATTTCTTTTGAAAAACCACCTACAAATCTGATGCAAGATTACCTTTTAATTACGTAATAATAAATATTGAAGAAGTTTGAAATAACATGGGGAATTGAGCTAAAAGTCTACAACAAGCCACTCTAAGGTACTAAATTAATACAGAGACAAGGAAAACTAAACTTTATTCCTAAGGATTACAGTAGAAAATCTATGAATAGTGTTGTTAGCAAGCTCATTTTTTTATATTCATGTGATATTATTATTTTTCTTCTAGCGTTTTTGGACTATGTATGTTCGTCTGTTAATAATAGTTAAGTTCTAAAGGAGAACTTACTGTCGTAGTATTTAGTGACCAAGTACAGCATATTTAAGGCTAAAAAGCCAACTTTGGCTATAATAAATTGGCTATCTCCATACATTACATTATTATTATTAATCCAATCATACAGAGCTTAACTTTCTAATGCCCTATATTAATTTATTCATAGGTGTGTCTATCGCTTGCAATTACATTTTTACATTAAGTTTTCATTTTGCATCGTGTAATTCAGGCTTAAAGTCATCACGGGTCATCGGTCCATCAAGAAATAACTTTATTACCAAAGATATACGGTCGAATTTGCCACTACGAACTATCCCAATGATCTATGTTGACTTTGAACCTTCATATAATAAATGTAATTTAACACCGTATTCTCGGACGAGCTGAGCCAAAAGTTCATGATTTAGGACTCTGGTCTAGTTCGAAACTAGACGGACTAACATGAAACGAGCACGTGAATCGAGCCGGACACATTTGTAAGCAGTAATACCCCGACTAATGAAATTTGTACTCACTGACTGACTAACGTAACAAATATCATTGTAACATGTAGTTTAAGTTTTTAAACGAAATGAGTTCAGTCAGCATCTACCTGATAAAAATGTATGACAACTAGTTACGCAAATTGTAAAAATTCGTCATCAAGCTAATTGCAAACAGCCCAAACAGGGTTTCTGTCTTTTATCCAAACGTCATTACATTAGCCGGCGTATTACTGCAACACATGGACATAACAACACACATACAGACATATCTACCTAGACAACGACATGACAACATAAGAGATGAGCTCAATACTCAGCACTCAATACTCAGTACTCAGTAGTCGAGCGCCCACTCGTTCTCCTGCAAGAACGCGTCCACAACCTCCTTCATCGTGAAGTTAGGAATTAACTGATCCGCTGTCAACTTCACACGAGTCACCGGATCGAAGTGACCGACGCGCTGTGGAATATAATTGTTTTTAGAAATAACTTTTGATTAAAAGTTCACCTTACAGATTGGAAAGACTACTTATAACATGCAATTTGGACGAAATATTAACTCACACTACCCATAACTTATGAGGATTAGCTCATACTCGGACTAAAACTCGATAGCTAAAAACTTAAGGAATTTCCTATATTAACTTCTATATAAATTCTTCAAGTTTAGGCAGAAAACTAGATTGTTGTCATTTCAAAGCATCTTACAGATGAACTCTAAATTAATAACAAAGAAATAACTGGTAAACATCTTAATCTCCGATTATGAAAAATCCACAACATTTGTTCATACAAAAGTAGTCTCTAAGCATTGGAAATAAGGTCTATAATGGAGTAAGTAGAGAGCGGTCATCGGTGACTGCTTGGGGACGGGGTAGTTAAAGGTAGTGCAATTATTACCTCCAAATGCTCCTCGATGTCTTTCTTCTCATAAGTAATACCGCTGGGCGTGATCACCGGCTCGTTCAGTATCTCAAAGCTGATCTTGCCGCACAAATAATCCGGCACGTCACGTTTCTGATGATAAAAACAATATTACGAGGCTATTACATTGTACTGAGTGAAATAATTTAAAGTGTGGGAGAGCCATGCTTCGGCACGAATGGGCCGGCTCGACCGGAGTGATACCACGGCCTCACAGAAAACCGACGTAAAGCAACGCTTGCGTTGTGTTTCGTCGTATAATTGAGGTTACCGGAGACCCAATTACCCTCCCTTTCTCCAATCTCCCCAATCCCTGAATCCCAACGATCCTCAAACTCCTAATCCCCAAAAAGCCGGTAACGCACTCGTAACACCTCTGGTGTTCCAGGTGTCCATGGGCGACGCCGATTGCTTACCATCAGATGATCCGTCTGCTCGTTTACCGGCTTATGCCATAAAAAAATGTATTTTAAGTTAAAATGTAAGTAATTAAAAAATACGTACCCTTCTTCTTTCGTCCATTTTAGAAAATAGTATATTTAATTCACTCCTGTAGTTATTCTGTTAACAAAATAATGTTAAATTACAACATGTTACATATTTATTCATTTCAAATGACTATGTGCCATACAATATACATGTTTGTTATTTATAGCTAGCCAGTTAGCCATCTCTATTTTTTTACTCTCTTTTGAAGAATGTAATTTTATGAAAGTGGTTCAAACGAATTTACCCGCCGGTATACCTAATTAAATAGACGTGTATAAACTTGGCTACTTCGTTGGCCGAGTGGTCGCAAGTGCGACTACTGGGCAAGCGATCTCGGGTTCGATTCCCGGGTCGGGCAAAGTATTACTTAGTTTTTTTCAATCTCAATAGTAGCACGGAGTCTGGAAATGTGCCCGGTATATGGCAATAGGCTCACCCCCCTATTACATGGGACTCATAACTTAAATAGTGAAAAGTGGGTGTTACTTCTGTGTGCACCTCTGCCTGCGCCTTCGGGGATAAAAGACGTGATGTTATGTTATGTTATGTTATGTATAAACTATAAACTTATATGACAATCATCTAAGTTAATAACTCAAAAACTAACAGAAACATATACTCCGTCTGTTTAGGTAGTTAACTATTTGTAAACAAACCATAAAAAGAGATCTTTATAGTTGACATTTCCATGATTCAAAATACTTCATAAGAAAATAAAATTGTTTCCCTTTTTACGACAGTTTTCTCTATTAAATGTTATGTTTCTGTTCCTTTTCACTTATTTCTTAGTAAATATTATATATATCTGCTTGAGGATATTAATTTAATAACATTTATTAAATAATATAATATTTCATTACAATAGACACCATAAAGAGCCTAAAATCGCAGGTATCCAAAACCCTTCTTTAAGAACGAAGCAAAATAATGTTGTCAAATTAAAGAGTACAACTAAGATGTAGCGCGACAATGAAAGTAGCGTGTATTACGTTTAGTCGGTTAATCAGGCGCCATTGACAGCTCTCTCGTCGTTTGCGCTCGCGTTCCTATTTTGTTGAATTTATCTTGTTTCTTTGTTTTGTTTTTGTTACTAAGTTATTTAAGTATAGGTTATTCATCGTTTGTAATTAATGTGTTCAAATATATTGAAGAAACTTGGCCCAAAGACACATATCCGTACGAGAAAGAAATCCGTACATCAGATGCAGAATAGTTTCTATTTAAACATGATAATGAAATAGACCCATAGGCTAGGCTCTTGTACAATTTAGGCATTTGTACTTGTAAGTGTGTGTATGACAAATGAAATATTTGAAGTAATAGTAGGTTAAGTATCTCTGTGTCACGTGGTTTTCTTTGTTTACCTTTAGTTAATTACCTAAACAGATGGACTATAGGTAAATTGGATTTTGACATCGACTAAGTAACTTGAATACAATACTTACACATTCATCCTCTATTTTAGACGCCTTACTACTAACATCGTCCTTGTTATTAGCTTCTAATTTTAATGCTTCTATTCTACGCTGCATATCCTCATTTATTAACCTGAAAACGAAATTTGTTAGTTGTTAACATAATTATGTAGATTAACTTACAAAGTAACTTACAAAGAAACAACGGACTTTTCATTGATTTTGTATACGGCAATGGGGGTAACTATTTTTTTATATATGATGGGTTGACGTTCACCGCTATGATGCAGTCCACGATGGAGGACGACGTCCCATAAGCAACCTATTCACTCGGGCAAAATATAGGAAGAGGTGTTTTTGTCCAATCACAGCAACTGTCAAATATAGAACGTCCAATGGCGTGGCACTAACTAATTTTCTATTGGACGAAGAAGAAGAGATTTACACTAACACCATCTGGTAATCAAAAATACGGTAGGCGTCATTCCGTAATCTTTGACATTCAGAGTACCCTAAAATTTTGTAGAGATATTTATATTCCATTCTCTTCATGAAAGAAACGTCTCTTTTTGTCAAAAAACATTGTCTCAATATTGATGTCACCTTGAGTCCTAAGGCCCTAAGTAAACAGACTTAGGCCGTCGACCGTCTAAGTCAGTCAAGCAATCGACCGTGATGTGCATGGAAGTGTATCTGAATCATTAATTCAATGCAAAGCTGTCCCCGAGCATACATAAATAAAGCGTAGTCACTGATGCACGACAATCAAAGCTACCGATGGTAACATTCATTGATTAAATTTTTGATGTATACTTTTATAGTTTAGAGTAAAGTTATCAATGTACTTTTCTTTGTATCTTGTAAAATTTTGTCGAAACAACAATTTTCTTGTTTTCATCTAACTATATTGTGATAGCGAAAAAGTTACTAATGTAAAGAAATAATATTTCACACAAAGTCTACTATTTAACCGTTTCAATGCCCGTATACAAGACACAATAGAAAATACATTGTATCTAAATGATATTAAATAATATTTTAAAAAATGAAAAACCAACCTTGATACTTTAGTTATAGGTTTTAAGACTGATATGAAAATCGATGGAATACGTTGATTTGAGTAATTTTTAGTTGAATCATTACATAACTGACGGTAAGTGGATGTTACGTTGTAAGTATATGATATACACCTGTCTAAACTCCTCAGGAATTAAAAGGCTTGTAGGTATGTATGTAAATGTCAGTTTACCTATTCAAATAAGACTGCAGTTCGATCTCCTGCGCTATTCTCTTCTCTTCTTGTACGTTCCATCGCTTTTTCCTCGCTATACGGATTTGTGCGGCGATGTCATCGCCGAAGTTTAACTTCTGTTCACGCGCCAAGTCATTTGCTAGAACAGATAATTAAGACACATTAACGATATTGCGACGTTGGGAATAACTCATTATGCTTGTACTTTGCTAAGTGAGTACCAAAACTTTAAACACCTATATTCTAAATAAAAAAAAATGGAGAGATGATGAAAATAAGTGAATGCTCACTCATAGTTACGCCTAAATCATAGTGTTCGAAAGGAACCCTTGCCTAGGCACATCGTAGACAACACGCAATACCTAATAAAAAAAAAATTAGTGCATCGACAAATACCTAGAGTCTGAAAAGAATAAACAAGGAAACAGGCGACTATCCACTTTTTAAAATTTAAATAGTTCTAGAACAATCTCCCGCCAATATTTTATAATATGATTCATTCACTTCGAATATAGAACAACACACACTTAGTATTCATTGATCGCGACTCAGCAGCTGTAGCCAAACGCCACTTTAGCGCTTGTCTACATATAGAATAGAAAACCAAATTATATGGGATTGACGTAAATTTTGACACTTGTCAGTGTCATCCCCAAACATTTAGTTTTCTACTCTCTCTGTAGACAAGCGCTAAAGTGGCGTTTGGCTAAAGGCACAGATCTACTTTATTTTCGAAACAACACTTTTTGAATCATAGTTTTAGGATGGCTGCTAGCCAAAATTGTTCCAGAAAAAAACAATATTGTTTGATGCAATGGACTTCTCTTTGAAAAATACGGAAAACAGAACAAATAGGACATGACTGCACTGATTTAATAAGTAGGTAGCTATGCACATTTTATATCAGGTAAAAAGGAAAAACATATTTTTATTGTTTATTAAATTATCGAATAATATATCATTTGTATATATAACATTATGGTATAGGTACATCTTGTATCTTCCATAAATAAATACTATAGCAAATAAGTCCTAAACCCTCACGGACTAGTATGACATCCAATTACAGGACCTAAGAATAAATCCTACTATACTACCTATAAAACCTACTAAAAAGATTCATACATTATACTATGTAACTAATTACTTTAGATATGAACAAAACTATAATAATATAATAGTATTTCGGTGACAAATATGTCACCTTGAATTTGTACATATTAAAATTACTATAATTGGATATACATTTGAACTGAATCCCTTTGACTGTGCGCTATAAATAGACTAACATTGATTTTGTAATTACAAGCCCATTATATTCTATTTACCTATATTCAGCTGATAGTGAAGGAATGGCTTATGTCATTTACCTTATTTAACTTTAATGATATGTTCATTTGTGATAGCTAATTATTTTTAAACACAAGTTAAAATAGAATGGCCCTTTTGAAGTGTAGGTATTAAAATAAAACAATTGACGACAAAGCTGTTACTTGCCTACTATACTATATCTACATAAAACAAAGGATAGAACTCTATACATGAATGAATTAAAGCTTTTTTATATAAGACTAAACTGGACTGCAAATTTCTAGAATACAATTGATAGATATGATCATAATTTTGATGAATGGATTCTTAAATAGTAACAGTGGGATTACAAGCAGAATTTTACATAATGATAAATTCTTTGATTAATCAATCATAAAAACATAATGATAATAAAGAAAATATGTGGAATCATTCAAATAAGTAACTATTGGGATTTCCCGGTAATACTATGCTTACTCTATTTTTTATTGTGCAATACTTTAAGGCAGAGATAGCAATTTCCATTGATTGTTGAGACAAAGATGTTTCTAGACTGATTCACTATTAGTGTGGTTGCTAACATGACTGCTAAACTAGGAATTGCAAATTCATATTCAACAGTTTAACTCTTTGTAATATTGTTGTTCCCAGTCTAGATTTTAAATTTAAATGCACCCACAATACATGAGAAAATGCTAGTAATTATATAATGTAGCCCCCTTTAAAAAAGCACAACAAATTAATGCCTATCATTCTCCAAAGTAATTAATCCTTTTCAAACTTTAAATATTCTTAAGCAGAGTCTATTATTAAACTACATACAATTTAACATTAATTAACATAATTACATTCTACTAGTTCTAAAAGTATTTCTATATAATATGCACATTTATAAACAGTCTAAGGTCAAGGCTAAAGTATAGTATTTAAATTAGACCTTCAATTTATAGTAAATCAATTGTATTGAAACACTGATTCTCTGCAATGTTTTCTACTTTACTTCAAGACAAATTAAATTTAAAAACTTAACAAGACCAGAACAACGATGTGCCTTAACTCTCTTTACTGGAATTTCAACTTTAACACAAAATAATAAAGATGGGAGATAATAGTTATGATAGACTACCTTATGCTAGCGGCTTTGCCTGTTGTTGTTCCATTGTGTAAAAAGTGCTAGTTATATGTGTTAATTTAGATCATCTACCCCTGTCCCCAATTTGATCTTGATCTCTTGAGCTGTTTTTACATGAAGGAGTGACAAGCAAACATACAAACTTTCATATCTATAATATTAAGTAGGATAAAAGAAAGTTTACCTACAGACACCTGTATAATGGCCAACAACTAATACACATCCCCTAAATATATCCTCTTCAAATCAATAAATTACGACTTAATTGAACAATCCATAGCACACTTATGTAATCTCAATTAGCATGACAGATTCCTATTCCTATCTAGCATAAAACTAAATGAATTTAAACAAGACAAATATTCAAAGTAGATTTCGACTAGAATAATAATCCAAACTAGTTTATGCCAAAATTAGAGAAATTTCAGAGCCTATGTATTAACAAACTATAATCAATCTGTGTCAAAATTTTATTCGAATCCATTCAACCATATAACCACCAAACCATACGATTGAGTAACCTGCCATTCAAACTTTCACGCCTAAATATTAGGTAGAATGGATAAATTCTTACCTCTATGCAGATGTTTAATAGCTTCATCGTAACAATCCAGTTCAACTAATGCCTGTCCCAAAAAGAAATGGCCTTTGACTTGATTATTGTCTATGTCCAGAGCTCTACGGCAGTCCTGGCATGTTGCCTCCCATTTTTTCATCTTCAGGTGGCATAGTGCACGGTTTGTGAAGTATGTCGCTACTGAAGGGTTTTTTATCTGAAAATGTTATTTTTCGTTGATTTATACAACAGTAATAGAATCCTAAAATGGTGTGGATTACAGTTCAAACTAATCAATTGAGGTTGTGTAAAACCTAATTTTTGCCAACACAAAGATTTCAGTAAATAAATATGATTTTAGTCTGTTTGTACATATTTACAAAAACGAAAAATACGAAACGTAAAAAAGGAAAAAACAAAAGTGTATAATAAAGATGAAAATAAATGGCCTGATAAAATAATCCCAGTTTCCTCATTCCAACAGTTCTTATCTTATAAGATATACAAATAAACATCATATTTAATTATGTACTTTCTAATAAGAAATAAACATGTAATACTTTAATGACTCATAGAAACTATTCCAAAACAAAGAAATAATCACTGCTTTGAAATGTTTCTGTAATTTTTATTTATTATGACAACACGTACATCTTCCTGGAAAGTATATTATTATGGGGAATGAAACTAGAACTGGAATATTAATAATAAAAAAATAAATTATTTATGTTCAATAGACAGGTACAGACAGACCTTTTTGTATGAAAATTAAATAGAAAATCAGTTGATTTCTCGTGCTTTGTCTTAAAAAAAATGGCAAGTGTTGTTACTATTATAGTAGATAAATGGTTGGTACTCACAATAGCCTTTGTATAGCAGTTCATAGCATCCTCAAAGCGCCTTAGGCTGAACAATCTGTTTCCCTGTTCCTTCAGCTCTTTATCGGTGAGGTTCGCTGTGGTATACGTATGTTTACTCATTTTTCTAGCAATATTCACACTTCGTTTAAGTCTATTTTGTCACATATATCATTATTCACCTCAAGCAAACTCGGAAATGTTTACGAAATATTATTTTCGTACACAATTGAATAAAATATCATAAAATTATTTTTCTTCTAGAAAAATATGTTTGTCAGCTTTTGACATTAGCATTTTTTGTTTTTGACAGTCAACGACAAGTTCAGTGTTGCCAGTCTAGCTAGAGTGGTGCAAGTGGTAGTTGCCAAGTAATCGTTAAACCAATTTTCCACAGTCCGTAGTATTTATTGACGTAAATGTTAATTAAATTACTTTCTTACTTTTTGGCAATACCTAACGATAATCTAACTAAAGTAGTCCAGAGTCGTGATTCGTAATGGTTCAAAGGTTAAGGTTCTCAAAGACAAAGTTTGGACAAAATATAAACGCCACGATTTTCTACAAATCCACATGAAGTACCGAGGTACAAAGTATGATTCTAGAAACACAGCTTGTTGACAGATGGCCAAACTAAAGAGTATAATAAGTATAGGGGAAAGCCAAACTGACCACCTGTCCTGAATGATCTGTCGTCGGCGGTTCCGAACCGATACAACCTTCAAGAAAAGAGCGTATTCCTTTATATAAGGCCGGCAACGTACCTGTGACTCCTCTAGTATTGCGGGTATCCATGGGTGGCGCTGATCGCTTACCATCAGGCAAAGAGTTTATTAAATATAGGGGAATCATCAGGTGATCCATCGGTTCGATTGCTTTCTTTTCTATATAAAAAAAAAGTATGTAAGTTCCTACTGATTAGAATTGAATGTTTTGTGTGTTGTAGGTAGTTGGGTTTTTGCTAAGAAGAAAAAGAAGTATAGAAAATATCACGCTACTGTTATCAATAGAAGCCGAGGAGCTGGTAAAACCGTATGGAAGGTACCTACAAAGCACATAATTATAATCAAACTCAGGACCATTCATTAATTTGTTTATTAAGAGTACCTAAAATAAACAGAATAGCAAATAGAGGTTTCATTATCATCATCATCAACAGCCAAAAGACGACCACTGTTGGACAAAAGGCTCCCCCTATAGAGGTTAGAGGTATAATGGAGGTTTATTATTCAAAAATAGTTTCCTACCTATCATAAATATTTTATTTTCACTCGCGGCATTTTACAATGGTGCAAATGCGGGGTGAAAATATGAATTGTGGAATATAACAGATAATAACCATTCACTGCACATTATGTATCATGAAATTTCGGCGGAAGAGTCACCGTAGGTAACTCAGGATTCAAGTAAGACGGTATTTTGAAAACACGATAAAGTGTCGATAGATCTCGGGTCCAGAGGCTAAATCGCTTCGTAATTTCTTTTGGAACATGAACGAATGCACATTCCGACAGGTTTCTTCTTGGCTTAGCTGAAGTGCTGGAAATAAATTGGAAATCATTTTATGTAGAATTATTAATAACTTTTGTTAATAAATATTTTCATTCTTCAATTGCTTAAAACAACATATCAATATTGTGCAATTTCTCACCTTATTATTGGATCCTGGTACAAAGGAGGAATTAAAGGAATCTCCATACTGACTTTCATTAGAGGACAAGGGAAATGTACATTATTTCCCAAACACAATACGCCATCTTCATCTTCCATTCTCTATAAAATTTATAAACAATCTTAAAAATAATATTTTTATATTTTAATACACATTAGATGGATTTATTCTAGTCGAAGCAAAAATAATGACGTCACTAAGAGCTCACACTATTTAATAAGAAAAATGCTAAATTTTGGGCAAATCTAGACGTTCCGTAAAGATCCCGCATCACCTCTCTAATCTGTTTAATTTTCTTGGCGTGTGCTAGAATACAGTTGCACCACTTCCAAATGTTTTCATCTGTAGCACCTCGCCGCTCGAGCCGCTCCGACAAGTCTGCCATATTGCGTATCGGTTTTTGAACCTGCACATGTATTAAAATATAAATATTATGTAAGTTTTGCTTCATTCGTCGAGTTCCAAACATGACTGCAAATCAAAGAGTCTGTTGGGTTCACCTTACTGAACCCTGTTCTTCACAGAATTCAATATTAACCAAGTTCATAATAAAATTACGTAAGTATTCCTACATTAAAAAAAAGAAACATACTATTATCGGCCTGACCAGTTTGCTAGGCAAGAAATATCTTAAAGAGTATGCCCCAGCTGATCGTTCACTGGCTCTCATGCTAGGTAAGGGTTGACGTCCTTTGGAAGGGGCCAGACTCCACCCCTGGGAACTGGGTGGAGCAGCCTGGTCATCATGTGAAGCATAGAACTCTAAACTCGTGTCATGACGCAGCAATAACTCCTGAAAGATGACAAATTTTGCATTTTAAATAAATGTTGTGAATTAGGGTTAAGTTGTTTATTTTGTCGTTTGTCGAGTGCTTGTTAGTTATTATTCCGTTGTAAATGATTCCGATATCATCATGTCTAATCGATGTATTTTTTTCTGACAGACATCTCAGTTCGCCGTCATATGATAACATGGTTAGGGCCTTGACTGCCCTTCGATTGATATCGATATACGTTTTGAGTATTGTTTTAACATTCAATCTAATAATTACGAACTAAAGTCCAAAATCTATTGAAAAATAAGAAAGAAGTTCTTACATGGAACTTATCGAAGTCAGTATTGATCTTCGCTCTAGTAGCTAGTTCCGCCTTCAACTCCTCGACTAGATACGCCCAGTACTTGTTAACCTTGGCATAGTCCCCCAGCTGCGCACGAGGCAGAAAAGACAGGACCTTCTTACCAATAGATGATGGTAGCATTTGTATCTGAATAAATAGAATAAAAATTATAAAATTTGACGATACAAAAGTAGGTGCAATTCTTTTCAGACACTATAGGAACTATACGTAAGAGATTAAGTACCTACTACTATAAATGTGAAGAAGGTTTGATTGCCTACTGTATAGACAGCATCACTGATCAATAAAGCTAAGGGTCAAAATACGTTTAGCTAGGTTAGCTTATACTCCAAGACAAGTTCAAATAGTTTCACCTCTGCGTCCGAAGAGTAGGTACCTACCTAACATATTTAATAACTTACAAAGTCTACAGTTTCAGTAACTTCAGGTTTAACTCGGTTGACCTTCCAGATCTTTCTCTTTGAGCCGTCATTGAAAATCATTTCTATTTCTTCCAGTTTCAAGCTATCACGCATTGATTTGATGGTCGCATTCCAACTAGCCAGGTTAGCGTTCAACTAAAATAAGGTAAAGTTTATATTAAAAAACGAAAGTGTTTGGACTGACTACATAATAATACTATCTGCGTGTAAGTACTATACATGCTTATTTTTCTTTATGTTTTTTTCACCTGAAACTTCCTCTGCAATAATTAAATAATGAAATACAAATTTAACTCAAAAATCAAAGTCAAAGTCAAAATCATTTATTTTAATTAGACCAAAAAGGCACTTTTGAACCACAGCAAAAACTTTTTGTAGCTATCTGCTCATTAAGTAAGGTGCAAGCCCAGAGTAAGGTGGACATTTTTTTATTGGTTTTGATTAATATACCTTCCTACGTTCTTGCAACTTATTATTGATCCATTTGCAGTTTAGTATTAATCCATACTTATCCACATGCTAGTTCCAGGGTCGGGGGAAAAACACAATAAGTTACCGTGGTCTGGCATTGAGTAGGAGTTTAGTCAGTAAGACACTGAAGTGTAGAGGTACTGACAAATTTAATATATTCTACACTATCGTCATTATAATTTACAATTTTATTAAAATAGTTATCTATTCTCACCACTTTATTTGCCTCTCCTGGAGTCGGCGCTGTCACAGGAGACTCAATTGAATCGTGGGTTTGAGTCGAGTCATGTTTTGATTTCTATCAAAATATAAAATATTTTTTATAATGTAGGCTTTTCCATAATCTCCACATTGGCAAGTGGAACACTGCCTGCTAGTCTATGTAGTTCCATAAGGACATCACACAATTGACAAGCAGGACTCCGGCACAGACCACCCCGTTCCTACTCCTGCACTTCGAGCTGGAGCTCCGGTAACCCGTTAGGTTCTCCGCGACAACGCACAGGCGGTGCGCTTACTCCTTATATTGATGTTATGAAATATGTCATACGCCATCCGATTACAAGTTCATATTTAAATGAAAAGGTAGGCAAATGCTGGGTTGGAGGACCTTTAGTAGACTTTACGACACCCTCGGGAAGAGTGACAAATAATGTTTAAGTTCTGTCAACGTTTTACCTGATTTTGATCATTGACCACGATGCACTCCTGGATGTTCTTCAGCATGAGCTCCCTGTTCCGTTCGAACAATGTGCGCGCTAGTTTCAACACCTCCCACATGGCTGGACCACCAGCCACCGTCATCAGTTCCGACAGGACCAGGGCTTGTGATTCCTAGAAATAAAAAAAATCATAACAAAAATTTAAATTGTATAACAGACTGGATACTTACTACAAGATTTGTCTGAAGAAAACATCAAACAGAGATTAGATTGAGGGTAGGGACTTAGGGAGCGTAAATGTATTTATGAGTTACTAACCGGATCAAGTGAAAGGAACCAAATACGATCGTTTTTCATGACTTGCGCCAGAGTGGGCCCTGGTAGGGCAGTCCTGTTGTGGTCCATCGGCACTTGGTCGTAACTGGTATACACGTTACGTCTACACAAATATTTAGGAATAAGAAAATCTGTTACTACTTCTTACTATTATATTACTTCTCTGCTTCTTATATGATTAAGGTTGTAGTATTTTATCGATGAATAAAATTAAGAGCTTTCTAAAGTGATGATGTGTTTTTATCATCGAAAACACACTTAAATGAATACGTACTTTAGTTACCTAGAGGTATATCTACGGGATATTAACTGATTTACGAACCCTATTTATGAATAGTCTAGTGTCACAAATTCAAACTAACTCGCTAGTAGATAACACGGCATCCTTCGGCCGACAGTTCCACATAGATTTGAGGAGCAGGGACAGTGCCCACGCGCTGCGCATGTCGTGAAGTAGGGCGAGGAGATACCGCTTCTTATTGGAGTACGAAATGCGAGCGAACCAATACTTTGTAGCCAGGAGATGCTTGCTGAACCTCACAGCTTCTTTTGAATTGTCCACGTCCTCTGCAAAAGAAACATGGGTTTTATTACCCATATAAGTACTAGTTTTGTATTTAGTGATACAGTAGTATGTACTTAGTAATAATGATTGTACGCTGAAATGTAAAGTTGGTAAGTTTTTAGGGACATTCGTAGGTAGTAATAAAGTAATTAAAATAGCGATACTTTATAAATTACATAGGAAGCAAATATTATTAAAGATCACACGCATATTATTTCGCAGCCTACCACATGTCATATCAGCTAAAATCAGGTCATTAATTAAGTGCACTTGTTTCGTCAGTTCTCCGAAGGAAGTCACTCTTGGTATTTTATTATGATCAAACATTTTCTTCAACTCAATTTTATTAATAACAAATAAAATAACTTCGTTTATAAAAATAAATACTTCAGATGTCTAACTTGTCAGTTGTCAGTAAAAGTTTTACAACCTCTTATTTATCTTATCATCATCTCTGACTCCAACTGCCAGTATCTAGATACAAATATGGAGTACGAAACATTTTCAAAAAGTTTATCTAAGTAGTGTGAGCTAAATATAGTTCGCCTGCATAAACTGTGTTGCTGATTGCAAGCAATTGACTTGCCGGCTGCAACAACAGGGTCAAGATTACAACGACCACTACGCAGTTCATATACCTACGTATGATGTTCCAGTTACGAATCTCCGCCGTTGCTCTGTCAGTCTGTCAGTCAGAAGCTGCCATGACGCGCGTGGAGACGCGATTCCCACCACAAACAGTAACAGTCAATTCGCGAACAAAACGTGCTAATTTTTGTCGATTCCTGTCTGTTATAGCGTTTGCTACGCTTGTAGCTGTGACATACTTCCTAATTAGAAGACCTATTGACTCTCTAGGCGATCCTTCAGATCAATATACTGTTAAGAATATTCCCAAAATCTACACGAAGTTAGAAGGGGTTGATCCCGAAGAAAGAGACGTGTTTCAAGGGTTCCGCACGTCGTTCCTGCCGCCTGAAGAGTTAGTGCTTGCTCGTTCTAATGCAAAATCGAAACGAGAAGTGTACGAGGGTAATGTGACCAGTGATATTTTGATATGGGGCTCTTCAGGCAAGCAGCATGGGACACCGACCCGGGTGAAACGAATGAGTCATTTCACATTTACTTCACAAGATTATGAGTAAGTTTCCAATAATAAATTGTATATTGCTCGTAAAGCTAGACAGAAGTCTACTTTCAGCGTATTCACTTTTAGTTAGTTATAAATTACATTGCAAAAATAATTTACCTATATATTGCCAGTATTGCCACATAGTTCAATAGCATGTTGTTTTAGCCAAGAACGACATTTGAGAAATAAAGAAGAAGTCGGGGAAGCCGATGACGAAGGAAATGAGAGTGAGAGTGAAGTTGATGAAGAGTACGACTCCAGCGACCAGTATGACGAGGACGATGGTATTGATAGGTATGCGAACACAATATCATATAACAAAATATTTCATAGTTATTTTAAACGCAATAATATAGCTTAACCTCTCGCCTTTTCTCAGACAGTTTTAAATGTAACCTATTCTTACTTTTGGCTAGTAATGATAAGAAGTCCATAATATGTAATATAGGGAGCGATCTATTTTTAAATTAGTTCGTCGTACTATTACTAAGAATTCTCGTCATCGTAGTTTAGCAGTCGCACTAGTGACCGCAAAAGTAAAAGAAGAACTAAATGAAACGAATATTCCATACTTTGTAACATCTAGTTATTTATATTGTATCGATGTCATAAGTCATTACTTATGATTACAATGGAAAAATAATTTTATTTAATATCTAATTGATCAATAGTACCTAGGAACTCCTACTTCTTATGAACAATCTTATGAAATGCACATTTCTATAAATAAGCCACTAGTATTGCATAAGAGAAGCACTGACCTGATATGATAGGTTGGTCATGCAATACGTATTAAATAGATACACGTTCTTAATGATTGACTACCTCGTTGGTAGAGTAGTTGCAAGCGCAACTGCCGAGCAAAAAGCCCTTTGAAGTATTAAAGTATAATATGCCTAAGTACTAGCTGATATACATACATTAAGTGGACTAAACAGCATAGTCCGTCCGGGGATGCACGTGGACCGAGGGCCACTGGACGACGTGGTGGAACAAATCCGCGGCCAACCAGAACTGGAGGAAGGCGAGATGATCTCCTCAGCACATATTTACAAACCTTCCCAGTCTTATGCAGGTGATTATAATATTTAAAACACTGAACACTATCAATCTCGTAGTAAATGCAAACATTTAATAAAAGTAGGTTAATTTTACGAGTTCAAGTAAACCTACCTATGTTCAAATGAGCCAGTTTAATCGAGTTCCACTTCACAGGTAGCTCTAGAGACCCATTAAACAATTTGTTCTCCTGTCCACACACAATTCTATTGTATGATAGAGCGCCAAATCAATTCGATAATAGTGTGTACATTGTGGTACGAATTATTCAATTGACTCTTGTCAAAAATGAGCCAAGGTTAGTCGTACGACAGTTTGCCAGTCTCGTGTACTATACACGAGATATCTCAATATAAAAACTGCACACCAGAAGCTCAACAGTACCCACTTATTTTCATTCAGGTATTCATGCTTTCTGGAAAGGTCAAGGAGATAGAAACCAAATCAGAAATACACAAGCTAAGATAATGAAACAATACATGGATGCGGAGGCAGATCCGTGTCACGACTTCTATCAGTACGCATGCGGTAACTGGGCTGCGCTCAATCCCATACCAGCCGACAAAGCAGGGTGCGTTATTGCATGATAGCATACTGTATATAAAAACTGCAAATTAAATATTATTTTAAACATTGACATTTTAGGTACGATACCTTTGAAATGCTCAGGGAAAATTTAGATACTGTTCTAAAAGATTTATTGGAATTCAAAAGGAAGGACAAAATACCGTGCAAGTATCCAGGATCTCATTTAGATCTAGATGATAACTTTTTGCTAACTTTGAACCCTATACATAAAAGATCTAAATTGCATTTTTACTCCCACACCGAAGATTTGGATGTAGTGGAGTCACATTCCAAAGATTTCTTTAATAACACTCATCAGGCCTCCTATACTAGCGATAAGGAAAAAGAAGAAATTGTAAACCGAATTCGAAGATATTTAGATAAAAAATCCAAAGAGGTAATGAAACCGATTTCCAAATTCAAAACCAAATTTAGAAAATACATGTCTCAGAATCATAAAAGAGAAAGAGTGAAAAGAGCAACAAACAAGTCTGAGAATGATTCTAAAACGAAAGTGTTTAGAAGGAAGTTTGTGATTAAATCCAAAGAAATACGATATGGTAGAAAGTTAATGTCATATAGAAGTAAATTAAAAATCCGAAAAGAAAGAGAAACCACTGTGGTTAAAGAATGGAGCACAACTAAAACGTCAAAAATAGAAGTTGAAGTTGAATCAGTTACAGATCCAACAAAGCCAAAAGTTGAGACAGTTACCAATAATTCCACTAAAACAGAAGGTACAGTTGAAGCTCAAACTCTTCTCCCGACAAAAGCACGACCAAATGATGATCCCGCGCACGGGGATGCTGCGATGAAAGCGAGATTCCTCTTCAAATCTTGCATGAATTATGAAATCTTACAAAAACGTGGTCATCAACCTCTACTAGACCTATTAGACCTCCTTGGAGGATGGCCGATCCTAAAGCATGAATGGAATGCCAGTCGCTTCGATTGGCTAGAATTAATGGCAAAACTTAGACTATATAATAATGATATTCTTATATCGGAATGGGTTGGACCCGATATCAAAAATTCCGATGAATTCGTGATACAGTTTGATCAAACAAGTCTAGGTAAAGTATTTAACGACAGTGTTATTATTGTTATAATAAATCAGAAAACTTATTATTACAAATTTCTTTACAGGATTACCAACACGAGATTATTTTCTCCAAGATTCAAATCAAGTATATTTGGATGCTTATAAGAATTATCTGGTTAAAATTGCAATACTGCTTGGAGGTGATCCAGATCATGTAAAAATAAGTGCAGATAAATTAATTGAATTCGAAATAAAGTAAGAATCTATTTTGTACACATTATACCACATTTTAAATTCCATTATTATTTTATAGTGTTCCTTAAGTTTCCTGTTATTATAAGTCTGGTTTACAAAAGTTATTTGTTAATTTTCGTGTTCATCATATCAATTATTTTCATTGTTTATTACCAAAATATTTACACTTTTGTCAGACTGGCAAAGATTACTTCAGCCCCAGAAGACAGACGAAATGTATCGGAGCTGTACCGTAGAATGCCACTGCGGAAATTGGAAGAGCTGGTTCCTCAAGTAAGGTGGAGACGATACTTGTGTGTGGTGATGAACAGAACCGTAGACCCCAATGAAACTGTTGTCCTGTTTGCTCTATGTTATGTCAGGGTAAGTCGTATTCTAAAATGATTCTGCCCTCATCAACTTCTTGGGTAAGGTGGAAGAACTTAGAGAAATACTGTCCCTTCTCAAAAAAACTTATCTTATGCTTATATCAATTTCTGTGTTTTAAAAATAATTGTCGGTGCGGATTTTATGTACATTACTTGTGTGAGGGTTTATAAAACCGTGCAGTCAATTCAAATCAAAGAAGTTACGTTTAAACTACTTTTTAAATTTATAAACTTTAAACAAGAAAATTTTAGCAAAATTATCATCTGCCAAACTGCATAGCAATTTGTTGGCACTAAAGCCAGCTTAGTGACATATTTGTGTAATCCTAACCCACTGTAACGTGTTTTCATTGTCAGCATTTAGTTAAATTGATAAAAGAGACTGAACCGAGCACGTTGGCAAATTACCTACTCTGGAGATTCGTGAGACACAGGGTCAATAACCTCGACGACAGATTTCAGTCTGCCAAGCAACAGTGAGTTCATTAATTGAATTATTTACATGTGCTTAGTACATTATTATTCCTTCTTCGATTTTGTCTTATGTCACCTCTATATCATTTTGCTTTGGTTTATATGAGGCACATAACAAGTAAACCGCTTATAATTGACTGATTTTTCCAGATTCTATTTCATCCTTTTCGGACGTGAACAAGCTCCACCACGATGGAAGAACTGCGTATCTCAGGTCAATTCCAATATGGGGATGGCACTAGGCTCCATGTTCGTCAGAAAATACTTCGATGAAATGAGCAAAAACGATACTTTGTACATGACAAGAGAGATACAGCAGTCTTTCAGAGAACTGCTCCATATGACAGATTGGATTGATGACAAGACGAAGAAACTAGCTGCACATAAAGTAGACGCTATGATGCTTAGAATAGGGTACCCAGACTTCATA